AACCCAATATCATTCAACAAGGACTGGAGCCACATCAATTCACATGTACCATGCGTCATAGCCCTGTATTCTGCCTCTGCACTAGATCTGGACACCACTGTTTGTTTCTTACTACGACATGTGACTAAATTTCCCCCCCCACAAATGTACAGTAACCAGAGGTAGATCACCTGTCATCTATAGAACCAGCCCAATCAGTATCTGTGAATGCCTCCAACCTCAAGTGACCATGATTGGAAAATAAAATCCCTTTTCCAGGAGTAGATTTAAGATACCTCAAAATACGATACATTGCATCCAAATGAAGGGCACGAGGCTCATGCATAAATTGACTCACTATCCCAACCGCATAGCAAATATCTGGACGAGTGTGGGATAAATATATAAGTCTTCCCACAAGTCGTTGGTACCTTTCCTTTTCTACAAGATCACCAGCACCACTACAAAGACGGTGATTAGCCTCAATTGGTGAATCGGCAAGTCGGCAGCCTAACATGCCAGTTTCCTCAAGAAGATCTAGAATATACTTCCGTTGAGAAAGAACGATGCCTTTGTCAGATCTACTAACTTCAATCCCAAGAAAGTACCGCAATAAACCAAGGTCTTTGATCTCAAATTCCTTGGCCTAACAACATCTTAAGATGTGTCACTTCTTCCTCATCATTACATGTCACAACTATGTCATCCACATATACTATAAGCACAGTTACCTTATTTGCGTGACGTTTGACAAACATTGTGTGATCTGCATTGCTTTGCTTATACCCGAACCTCAACATAGCCTTTAGGAATCTGTCAAACCAAGCTCGAGGAGACTGTTTCAAACCATATAACGCCTTTTTCAACCTACAAACTTTCCCAACTGTAGACTGAGATAAGAATCCTGGTAGCATATCCATATATACCTCCTCCTCCAAATCACCATGGAGAAATGCATTCTTCACGTCTAACTGTTGTAAAGGCCATCCCAAATTAGCTGCACATGAGAGAATAGCTCGAATGGAATTCATCTTTGCCACAGGAGCAAAGGTTTCTTGGTAATCAATTCCATATGTCTGAGTAAATCCCTTGGCCACTAATCGTGCTTTGTACCGTTCAATTGTTCCATCTGCTTTCTGTTTGATGGTGAACACCCATTTACACCCTACAGGCTTTTTTTCACTAGGAAGAGAAACCAACTCCCAAGTGTTATTCTTGCTTAGAGCTTGCATCTCTTCTACCATAGCTACTTTCCACTTAGGATCATTGATAACTTCTGTCCAACCCTAGGGAATACATGCAGAAGACAAAGATGAAACAAAAGCACGATATGTAGAAGACAATGAATCATATGACACAAATTTAGAAATGGAGTGTTGAGTACAAGCCCTAACCCCCTTTCTAAGAGCAATAGGAAGACTCGAATCATTGACAACAGGACTCTCAACTACAAGTAGAGGGATAGATAGACTGAGATGCATTACCTGGAATTGGCATAAGGGATGATGATGGGTTTGGTGGCACAAGGGATGCTTGCTCTTTTGGACACCGAGAATAAGTCTTAAGATCAGCCCTGTCCAAATGACCACTAATGTTAGGCTCCACATCAAGAGAACTATTAGGCTCCCCCTCACCACAAATAATAGTCTGTTGACTAGGAAGGAAAAAAGACAACTCATGTTGATAGGCCATCTCCTCATCCGCAATCTTATCCATACCACTACTACTCTCTCCCGGAGGAGAAGGAAAGAAGGACACAGATTCACGGAAAGTGACATCCATACTCACATACACTTTGCGAGTGTGAGGATCATAACATTTGCAACCCTTCTGAGTAGCAGAATAACCAATAAAGACACAACGCACAGCCTTAGGATCGAGTTTCCCATGAGTACGAGGTTGCAAATGAACAAAACAGACACACCCAAACACCCGAGGAGGAAAAGAAGAGGTGGGATATGCGACAAGAAGCAGTTGAAGAGGAATCTAGAATTGGAGGACACTGGAAGGCATACAGTTGATAAGGTAAGCAGCGGTAAGAACAACATCACCCCAAAATGACTTAGGGACATTCATGGTAAACAAGAGAGAGCGAGCAACTTCAAGAAGATGACCATTCTTGTGTTCGGCAACCCCATTCTGTTGAGGAGTACCAACACACCTAGTCAGATAAAGAATGTCATGCTCCTCTAGGTATGCCCGAAACGCTCCATCAACATACTTAGTCCCATTATCACTACGAAGAATTTTGCTTTGAGCATTAAAAAGATTGGTCACCATTTTATGAAAAGTTTGGAAACAAGAAAAAACTTCACTCTTAGTTCGAAGCAAGTAAATCCAAGTCACACGGGAAAAACAATCAATAAATGTAACAAACCATCGATACCCAGAAGTAGAAACCACAGGGGAAGGGCCCCACACATCGGTATGAATAAGCATAAAAGGAAAAGTATTTCTTTTATTAATTGAAGGGTAACAAGTACGTTTATGCTTTGCAAGTTCACAAGCATCCCAACCAAAAATACTCCTAGGACAATCACGAACTAAAGGAAAAAGTTTTTCTAAAACACTAAAGGAATGATGACCCAAACGGCGATGCCACTGATGAAGGAGAGAGACAGAAGAGCCAATAGTGCACTTGAGAGCTTGAGATGGGATGACAAGAGGAACGACATCCAGAAAGTACAGCCCACCTTGTGCTCTACCATTGCCAATCGTTTTCCCCGTGGCCAGGTCCTAAAAGACACAATGAGTAGGAAAAAATGTCACTAAGCAATTTAGAGAAGTAGTAAGACTACTAACAGAAAGCAAGTTAGTGGAAAAAGTAGGAACATGAAGCACAGATGAAAGAGAAAGCAAAGATGAACAATAAACCGAACCCTTGCCAGAGACAGAGGATAAAGTGCCATCAGCCATTCGAACCTTGTCTCGGCCAGAACAAGGAGAATAAGAATAGAAAAGACTAGAGGCATCTGTCAAGTGGTCGGTGACATCAAAATCAATAATCCAAGAAGGCGATGATAAGGTATTAAGAGCACTAGCAGGAATACCTGTGTTGGCAAAATTGGAAGAAGCAGAAGTAGAAGAAACTGTGGTAGAAGGAGAGTCAAGTCGAGCCATCAAACGTCTGAGAGTGTGTAACTCATCCTGGGAAAGAGACAGGAGAAGGACTCACAGCAATCTCGGACACATGTGCTTGGGGTCGAGCTGTACTACCACGACCTCGACCCCGACCCCGAGTAGGACGACCATTCAGTTTCCAACAATGCTCTCGATCATGTCTGTCTTTCCCACAATAATCACACTTCAAACGATCTCGATCAACCAGTGTACCCTGACTCCCAGACTGAACCGAACTAGGTCGAGGGGCCCGAGTAGGAGGAACAATAGCTAAAGCAGAACGAACCTGAATAGAGGAATGCACCATAGCACTACGGCGACTCCCCTCTTGCTGGACAAGGGCATAAGCCTCGCGTAGGGTGGGAAAAGGTGAACGACCCAACAACTGGACGCGAATCTGATCATACTCCAAGTTCAAGCCAGCAAGAAAATTATACACACGTTCTTTCTCAACGGTTTGCTGAAACAACGTGGCATCCCGAGAACAAACAGCCTAGAAGCTTTGGTAATAGTCTAGTTCCTGCCACAAACTACTCAACTCAGCATAGTAGACTGCGAATGATCTATCTTTCTGATCTAAGCTCCGAAGCTTCTTCCTCAACACATACGCCTGTGCATCATTACCTTGTTGGGAGTACATTTGGGCTGCAGCTGTCCAAATCTTATGAGCAGTATCTAATAAAAGGAAACTCCAACTAATAGTGGGCTGCATAGAGTTGATTAGCCAAGTCATAACAAGAGCATTTTCAAAAATCCATTGAGTATAGAGTAAGTCATCATTATCCGGTAGGGGAAGAGAACCAGTAATGTAGCCAATCAAACGACGAGCAGCAATAGCAAGACTACAAGAGCGTGACCAAATCAAATAGTTGGAACCATCCAATTTAACGGAACTAATTTGAAGAGAGGGATTGTCGGTAAGAGTCATAACACGACGGAGGCCACCCTCATCACTAATTGTATCATTAGTCTCACCCTCAGCCATTGAAGATTAAATGCCCACAATAAAAAAAAAAACAAATACCAACCCAAAACAGCAAAACCAAACAGAGGCAAATCCACAAACTCAACTTAGGGACAAAAGTTACCTCTAGAGACAAAAACAGAGCCGAAACAGGGGCTAGAGAGGCCAAAACCAGTCAGGAACTGAGAGAAAACGTGCTAAAACTGAGGAAAATCGACAAAAATAGAGTGAAACCTTGCCAAATCATCAAAACCAGTCCTCCCAACCCTAGGACAGTCCCAGTCGACTCCCAAGGTAGAGGGAGGAAGGGAAAAAACAACCAAAAACAAGCCCCAGCAGAGACTTCCAAAAAAATCAATCGTTTTTCCAAAAATCAACAAAAATTGGAAAAACACTCAAAAACTCATCAAAAAATTAAAATAAAAATCTAGGGTGAAAACCCATCAAATTTCGACCATAAAGAATTTTTTTTTTTTTTCTGTGTACAAGGAAGAACGAAAGAAACAAGAACCAAGAACCAAGAGAAGAATCTTCAAGGAGGAAGATGAAACTCTGATACCCTGTTAGATTTGCATAAAAAAAAGAAAAGAAAGAGATGAAGAAAAGAGAGAGCACTGCTGCTATATATTATTTCACACAACTAAACATATTAGGGTTACACATACTTATAATAAAAGATTAAAGGAACAAAAGACATAACTACCCTTATACACTAATACTTAACACCCACACTGCGACAAAACAATATTTCAAAGCTGAAGGCATGAACAAGCTACCCAGAAGCAAAAATTACTAAATTGAATTCTCATTTGAAAATACCACGAAAGTAGAGCAATGTCATTTATGAAGTGACCAAAATAATTTTTTTTTAAAAAAAAGAAAAAAAAAAAGAGAGGCGCTAAATTACTCATGGAGTCAAGAAAATTAAAACAACAAAAAGAGAACCAAAAAAAAAAACTAATCAAATATAAAACATCTGGCTCCCAGAAAGGGCCATTCAACTCGAGTACCAACAAAATCCAGAGAATTATCTTATTTTGTAATCTCTCTAGTGAACACAATACTATGACCTCAAGAACAATATATAGTAGTAGCTCAATAAAATTCTCACATGTTTCTTTAGCAGCTCGACCTTTTATCACACACATGTAATAATACAGTTGATTGCCTGGAACGGGTGGGTTGGGGGTGTAAATGGAAGCAATTGCAAAGATAAGCGACAATATGAGCACCAAAACGTTCCCTAGACTAGGCTCTCGCATGCCTCAATGTCAGGTGTCTGCGTATCCAATACGCGTTGCCCAGAAGGACTTGAAGTGATGATCCTCATTGCAGCAGCAAATATTGGTTTTCGGAACATGTCGTCCTCCACCTTCTTCAGGACCGCCTCCACCACCTTAAAGTCCAATCCAACGGCCAAAACTAGCCTCCCAATAACCTCACCGAAATTATTCGGTGCCTTCGGTAAATCAATGCCTATACCATACAACATCGAACCATATAGCACGCATCCGGTCCCAATATCCCTAGCCGTAAGCATCTTCTTGGCAAACAAGTACTCAAGGAGCTGCACAACTGGTTCCACACAGGGTGGGCTTTTCTCCAAAGCAAGCAAAATGGCTTCTTTGACAACCTCGGGGTGGTAAGCTGGGGAGTTCAATTCCTCCACACACTGCAATGCCTCGTCCAACATCCGGATACTGAAGTATTCCTCCAGAAGAGAAATTGTTTTTCTCCTAGGTTCTATGATATTAGAAGGACCTACTGCTTTCTCAGCAGCCAGAGGCACAGATGCGATTGGTGCAGGTCTGGCGGGAGAAGGGACTTGAGATGCGGGGGGGTCCATACCATACCCAAAGTTAGGAGGGCGAACAGGAGGGGCACCACTGCCTTGCAATAGGGCACTAGTCCTACCACCTACAAGGCCACTGGTACCCTGAGGAAGAAATTTTGAGTCCAATGATGGTGACTTGCCGATTAATGGGGGTTGAACACATCCAATGGGCTGAATGGTTGTTGATACATCACCCCTCGACATGGAACAGGGCTTAGGAACCTCCCAATTGTCATTATCAATTCCGGGCATCCCAGGCATCTTCCTGGTCCATAGCATTCCCAGCATCATTCCCCCAGTGCCAGGACGATTGATGGGGAAACCACCCACAGGGCTGACACTCCCCTGTCCACCAGAAACAACACGGTTATTTCTCATGCTTGCTCTAGCATCAGGATGCCACCCCAGATTCTTATCAGCCTCCGAATGGATTTTAGTGATGGTTTTGGCTTTAACCTGCAAAGAGTTTAATTAGCAAGATGATAAAATTTTGTACCAGCACCAAAATCATATCATGGTAATTAATGAGCAGTAGAAAGTTACCTCTTCATGTCTGGGAACCCAATCATTTGCACGTCGATCAAGAACACCATGAATCATGAACCTTAATTGTGGAGCCAGCTGGGGATTTGTTGACAATTCTTTCAATTGGATGAAGTACGTATCATTAAGTCTCCGTGACTTGGTGCTCTCGTCAAGCTGTTTACCAATAGTGTTGAAGAATTGACATATGGCCTCCACGTTTTCCTCTGGGCAGGTCTTACTATCAGACCCTAAAAGCTCCTGTTTCACATTAAAAGTTATGGTAAAAGACAATTATTATAATGAGAGTCAGACACTGTTTTGAAAATAAAGATATTTCAAGCCAAAAACGTGAAAGAGCTACGAAAGGAAGCTCCATATAAGCACCTGTCTCACATGACAAATAACGGCAAAACAATTTTTATATTAAGAAAGAGATCTGAAAATAATCAAGATATTTCAAGCTAAAAACATGAAAGGAGAGAGGGAGCTTTAATTAGAACCTGAACAATGTGACGAACAATTTTTTCAGGCACCATCTTCTGCCTCAAAAGCTCCCCAATTAGACGAATGTTTCCTAGTGTGCGAAGTTTGACCATTCTTTCTTTATCTCTACGTTCCGACTCTTGCTCAGGAGCAGTCATCTGCCTTACTTCTTCCCTAAGTTTGGCAGAGCCTTCAAATGCCTCCTGGCAGAGGTTCAAGAGGACTCGCTTAAACGTGATTTCTTTCCCACCAGGTTCATCCGATGGGAATGGAGGGAGCTTTTCATTTAGATCCGAACACAGCTCTGCATACATAGGGCAAAATGTTGGTTCCAGCACTGCCTTGTCAAAAATCAAGCAGATAACATCCTGTGCATTGCAAGCAGAATCTGCATTAGCCTTTAAAAACCAAACTGAAAGTAAAATTATAATTAAGAAAATTCCCCAATCTATGTCTGGGAGGTTTGGGGGATGGAGGGGTAAAAAAAAAATTAAAAATTAAAAAAGAAAAAAGAAAAAGAAAAAGAAAAGAGGAACCTTCAGAATATCAGCTTTTGTGATGCCAGAATAAATTAGCTGTCCCTTGAGTAGGTCAAACTTCTCTGGAGTCGGCTTATTCAGTATCCTAAATAGCAATTGAAGACAGAAGTCAGCATGCATAATTGATATGAAATGACATTCAACATATATTCTAAATTTAAAAACAAGAAAAAAAATTCTTCAGCTGCAAACTCCTGTCAACTGACATTCATGTGATCATTAGTTACTAGAGCCAGCAATTTGTTCTTGCAATCAGAAACAATATTAACTAAATTAAATCAGAGACAGATTTAAATTATAATATCAAATACACAGAGTAGAGATAAACTATTTCAAAACCTTAATAATTGATATCAAACAAAAATGGTTCATGACTGAGTGAAATTAACTAAATTGCAGGCATATTATTAGTGTCCACCATAGACACTAACATTCAGAAGGATCCATACAATATAGCAAGTGATAATCACATGATTGCACAGGTGTCAGGAAATCATTAAAAGATCTTCAGAATAAATTACCCTTTCACTGTCTTCAAAACACGATCCTTATCAGAGAGGTTTCCCCTTCGAGCTGACCATGGCACCTCAGCCTTAATTAGAGCAGGAGCTGGTCCTACCTGGTTCATTGACAAAGCATGGCTTGATATTAACTCCAAACAGTAACTATTTACAGACAGACAAAAATTTACATAGTAAACAGATCACATCTTAACAACACACGACCACACTAATTAAAAAGGCAATGGCAAATGTCAGCACAGTTTGCATATACAGCTTAGATCATGCAATATGTTTGTACTTTCATTTTTAAGGAACTGTGAAAATTCACTAGGCTAGTCTGTAGAACACAACTATCTCTCCGTGTAATAGATTTATAAGAGAGAAGCTCATCCCTTTTCTCATTCCTCGTCATTCTACATTTTCTACCCACCTTTCAGAGGTGTCATATACAATGAGGGCATTTTCTTCACAACAGAAGGATGCCACTTCTCATACTACAGCCCCATAAGAAAAAAACACTACGAAGAAAAAAAACCCATGATACAGATGAAGGAAGTGCGCTAGTGTCCCCATTCTCTCCTTCCATTTTCTTCCCAAATCATGCTGCATTCTTGTATAAGATGAAGGAACAAAACAGTAAAAGAAAAACCAGTATAAAAACCTCAAGCCATGATTAACCCCGTGAGCATCCCTCAGACCGTTTGCACAAAATTGATTGATCAGCTGACAAAGGACAACCAGTTCTCAGATGCAAACAATGGGACAACCATACAGCAATCCCAATCAGAACTTAAAAATTAAACTTCTAGCATGTTTGGATAACATAATTTCCAAAACTTATGGAAAACTCCTAAAGTCAATAATCTGAGAAAAAAGAGGATGCCACTTATTCCTCCCTAGATTCCAAGGCAGTAGTACTATCTAGGAGCAAATATTATCAATAAAGGAAGTTCTTCATCGGATAGTGTTTAACATTAAACTTACTAATAAGCCTCATATAAAGATATAGATGGATTGTTGATCTAGGAGCAAATATTATCAATAAAGGAAGTTCTTCATCGGATAGTGTTTAACATTAAACTTGTTAATATATATAATATATCTAGATAGATAATATATATAATCTATATACATAGATTATATTAATGTATAGTTAGTGGCAGTAGTGGCATTGTGCTTTCGGCTGCTTTTCCTTTCTGTCACTTTCCTATGATGGTGTCTGTATAGCATTAGCATCTTCCCATCTCCTATATATGAAGGAGTGTGTGTATCTATTGGAAGTGTGAGATTGAATAAACAGAGTTCTATTTCTCTCTTTCTCAAACTATTCTAACATGGTATCAGAGCTAGGTTAACAACCTAGTCATTCTGCTTCACCGGCGGGCGGCAGTCTCGCCTTGGCCGCCCGCCGGACCTCTACACATACCTTCACTCCGCTGTCACAAATTCCATAACTGAACTGAACTCTTGTCTCTCTGAGGGAATAATCAACACCTTCACACCAGTGAGGCCGTGGATATGGATCGCAGGCACGTCTATGTTGTAGCTTTATCTGCATTGTCGTCGCCGGCGTTGGAGGTCAATCTCCGGCCACACCAACTTTAAAAGCTCCCTCTCTCTCTTCGACTGGATTTCAGATCTTTTTGGTGAGTAGATGTAGATGTAGCTGTTGTGGCCAGCCACATCACAGCCCATTGCTGCCATCGTCGTCACCGAAGACCCACGCCACCTTGCACACCATCGGTGGTTACAACTGTGGCTACCATTGATGCCGCAACAGCTTCGGCAGCCACGGCACCACTTTTCACTCATCTCCGCCACTTCCATTGTCTCGCCAAAGCCACCGATCCTCACCACCACCATCATGGAAGCAGCAGCAGCTCATCTTCACTCATAGTCTCCGCTCCATAATTCTTTCTCTATACATAAAACTTTCATGGTATCAGAGCTATAGGTTAAAGATCTTGGTGTTCTTCGCCTTCCGGCGGGCGGCAACCTTGCCTTGACCGCCCGCCGGATCTCAACCAATTCAAACCTCCCTCTCCCTCTTGGCACCTCACTGAAACACACCACCATTGCCATCACTCGATGCATACACACACACGGTTTTGAGGGACCCTCCATACACATGCACTCTCTCAACCATGCAAGACACGGTCTCTCTCTCTCTCTCTAATCTCTCTCTCGATGTGCATGGGGAGAGGGCCTTGATCCACACACAACCTTCCACACAGACAGACAACACAGACCAAACCCATCTCTCTTCTCTCTCTAGACATTCCGAGGCTGTTCTCTGTCTAGGAAATGACACACGGCCTCAGCTCTCTCTCTCTGGCGATATCTCTCTCCCTCTCGGGTTGCATTTTGAGAAGAGAATCCATTCACACACCATACACACAGAGCTTCATACACATTGGCATAGACACAGAGCTTCGTCCCAGAACTTGGAGGTGGATTATGGCCGCGTCTACACAGTCGTCATAGTCAACTGCACCTTCCCTTTCTTCGTCTGCCACGGCGGCTTCGGCGGACACCGTGGGCGGCAGATCCCTTCTCTGGAACCTCTCCGAGCCCACCCCATGCTCTCTAGTTTTTCAAACCCATTTTACTTTTCTTCTTTTATTTCTTTATTTTTTTTCTTTTCATCCATTTTACACCACCAAACACTTTACACCTATTTACAGACAGACAAAAATTTACATAGTAAACAGATCACATCTTAACAACACACGGCCACACTAATTAAAAAGGCAATGGCAAATGTCAGCACAGTTTGCATATACAGCTTAGATCATGCAATATGTTTATACTTTCATTTTTAAGGAACTGTGAAAATTCACTAGGCTAGTCTGTAGAACACAACTATCTCTCCGTGTAATAGATTTATAAGAGAGAAGCACATCCCTTTTCTCATTCCTCGTCATTCTACATTTTCTACCCACCTTTCAGAGGTGTCATATACAATTAGGGCATTTTCTTCACAACAGAAGGATGCCACTTCTCATACTACAGCCCCATAAGAAAAAAACACTACGAAGAAAAGAAACCCATGATACAGATGAAGGAAGTGCGCTAGTGTCCCCATTCTCTCCTTCCATTTTCTTCCCAAATCATGCTACATTCTTGTATAAGATGAAGGAACAAAACAGTAAAAGAAAAACCAGTATAAAAACCTGCATATAATAAGATAGTGGCATATGATAGTGGTGTTGGTGGCATGTATATAATATGATAGTGGTGTTGGTGGCATGTATATAATATGATAGTGGTGTTGGTGGCATGTATATAATATGATAGTGGTGTTGGTGGCATGTATATAATATGATAGTGGTGTTGGTGGCATGTATATAATATGATAGTGGTGTTGGTGGCATGTATATAATATGATAGTGGTGTTGGTGGCATGTATATAATATGATAGTGGTAGATTGTGGTAATATATAATATGTAAGTGGCATATAATGGGTTATAATGATGTTTGTAATATCTCCTATATAAGGAGTGTCATTTGGTCTTGTAAGATAAGAAGTTTTGAATATAACAGAAATATATTCCTTCTTCCTCATATTTTCGGAGTTCTTCTTCCTCATATTTTCTAAGTTGATTAAGCCCTTAAGGGAGTCAACACTTGAACAATGATTAGATTTAAAACACAACTTTTTTTTTTTGATCGGCAATGAAAAATTTTATTGACTAGCAAAAACAAACTACAAAGAGAGGACAACGAATCTGCTCCAAAAACCAACGACCATTACATCAAAACAAAAACATCATTTAGATTTCAAAACACATTTAGGTTGAAAATCTATAGACTAGCAATCCTTAAGTAGCCATGTGTGTAATCTCAAGGAATCATACCAGTACACACTTCTATACTAACCAAGCATTACATGGTATGATAGTGCTTTTATTTTAATTGAACAAAATGCAAATACTACAAAACAACACATAAAAAGAGTAACACAAAAATAAGTCGAATTTTCATCAATAACCTCAACAATCATTAAAACCCACTAGCCCACAGAGATTAAATTCAATGTCAGTTCCATTTTAGAAAGAAAAACATGATCGTTTATAGAGACTAAGACTTCAGTTTTTACTTTTTGTTTTCAGTAAAAAAGGCTAAAAAGACAAAGCGTTTGCCAACCAAATAAACATAAAATAAGCTTGGCTTTTATGCTTTTCTACAGCTAAACTCATTTTCCAAACTCCCTGCTTTTTGGGTGCATTGTAGTCTAAAAAACGAGGGAAAAAAAAAACATATGCCAAAAAACCCCTCACTATGGATTTCCCTAAATGAGTGTAATGCAAAAAATCAATTCACTTATCTAACAAAAACAACTTACCCTTTGTGCCCTTGAAAACTGCGAGTTGAGTTGGTCTTGGCGATTATGTTGACCTGCCTTCTGTTGTCTAGAGTCAAACCAGCCACCAAACTCTTTGTTCTCCCAGGATCTCCCCTTTCCAGATGCAGGAAATCGTGCAGATCGACCACGCCAGTCACGATTGTCTGACTCAGAATAACGATTTTGAGGTTGAATTGGTGGCTACATGAATCAAACACGTCACACAAAATGAGCCGGTAAAGTACACCAATAGAAAGAAGGAAATTAAGAAAAATTAGCACAACAGAAAACATTCTTGGATAACAAAACTCTTCACCAATTGCAATTAAGCACAAGAAATATCCAATGCAAGCAAAGGTTGAAGATATGATATTAATCTCTGCAAGAAATCAATCATTTTTCTCAATGACGGGGGTTATCAAACAGTAACAGAAACTTACAGAGCTTTCCACATGACCCCAGTTTTGATCTTCACCAAAAAATTCAGCTTCAACTTCTTGTTTTATTTTCGGTATAGCCTCGGGGATGTTACCAACCTATGAAAAAATACACAGCATAAGTAGTCACCATGAGTGATTTAGCAACACAAACGTAGGATAAAGAATTTGCAACATAAGATCATTGCAAACAGTGTTGGTCATGAAGACAGATCAAACATACATCTACATCTGCCAAAGTAAAGTCATTTCACCATGATTTAGACCATCGTTAAAATAACTAAAAAGTGACAACAGAAGCGATTATTCAACGTACATAAACAGACATTAACCAGCGGCGACTCCCATTAATCAAAGGAAGTGATCACTAATATGCTTTTACATGCACCCCCGAAAAGGGAAAAGATGTAGCATGTTTCCATAAGCAAGCCAATAAAACAAATAAACTAATCAAAATATAGAAGTGAAACAGGGAGAAATGAAAGGAAGGGATGTAAGAGATGACAATATAAAAAAATTACAGCAAGGATTCCACTACATCAGCATTAACTAGGTGTGTATCTCCTACAACTCCCAACGAACAGGATAAGTGCAAGGATAAAGAAGTCCTGGATGCTATGGAAATATTTACAAGTAAATAAACAAAAGACAACATTCATGAAAGAAAGGAGGAGGTTTGCAAGGAATATGGTAACATGGTAATGTTATCTTATAAGCAAGAGAACAATGTAAGTTTGTCATCATCAGTAACACAACGAAAACAAAATATGTAATTGATCTGGAAAGAAAGATAAGAGAGTGGGGAAATTAAAAATTAATTACATCAAGACCCCCTCAACTATTGGCTAATATCACCTTACCTCCCTCATATATTAGCCCGTACGTATTGACCCCCTCAACTATAAAACTCATACAAATGGCTCCTTCTAGAGGTAGTATGGACGGGGTGAAAGTGATTCATTTTAAAGTTGAATGGGTCAAAATCTGCGGGTTCATGGATGAGGGGGGTTGGATGATATTCACTAATAACTGAAGAGGTCTTGGTGTAATTAACACGGAAATGAAACTTATGAGATAAATGGTATCATACACCGTGCACTCCAAGTGATGTATAAGCAGTAGGCTTTGCAGCAGGCGGAAGATTGTAAAACAAATAAACTAATCAAAACATAGAAATGAAACAGGGAGAAATGAAAGGAAGGGAGGTAAGAGATGACAATATAAAAAATTACAACAAAGATTCCACTACATCAGCATTGACTAGGTGTGTATCTCCTACAACTCCCAACGAACAGGATAAGTGCAAGGATAAAGAAGTCCTGGATGCTATGGAAAAATTTACAAGTAAATAAACAAAAGACAACATTCATGAAAGAAAGGAGGAGGTTTGCAAGGAATATGGTAACATGGTAATGTTATCTTATAAGCAAGAGAACAATGTAAGTTTGTCATCATCAGTAACACAACGAAAACAAAATATGTAATTGATCTGGAAAGAAAGATAAGAGAGTGGGGAAATTAAAAATTAATTACATGAAGACCCCCTCAACTATTGGCTAATATCACCTTACCTCCCTCATATATTAACCCGTACGTATTGACCCCCTCAACTATAAAACCCATACAAATGGCTCCTTCTAGAGGTAGTATGGACGGGGTGAAAGTGATTCATTTTAAAGTTGAATGGGTCAAAATCTGCGGGTTCATGGATGAGGGGGGTTGGATGATATTCACTAATAACTGAAGAGGTCTTGGTGTAATTAACACGGAAATGAAACTTATGAGATAAATGGTATCATACACCGTGCACTCCAAGTGATGTATAAGCAGTAGGCTTTGCAGCAGGCGGAAGATTGACCAGAGTAGGTGCAAGAGCACCATTTGGAGGTGTGCAGGTATGATCTGTGAACAATGTCTTTATGTCTGGGTTTGGCCTTGGATTCTTACAGAGTTGGTGCTGCCAGTTCAAACTGGATCAACAATAAAATCAGAATCCTGAGGTTAAACATACACAGTGGACAGCACAATTATCTACATTTCTATGGCAATATATGCAAGAATGACAAGCAAAATGAACATTGACAGACTCCCAAAATTTCCTGAGGGCAAGCAAAAGTAAGCACCAGTGTAAACATGTGCAAATGATTTTTTGCCATAACAACCACAAGTTGTAAAAAGGCATGAACGCGCGGAAACGTCCATAAAGAAATGGTAGGTAAAATCAATATCTACCCACTAATTGAGAATTTATTGCAACTATTATTTGCAAATATTATAATTTTAAAAAAATGGGCATTTTTTCAAAGAAGTTACGGAAACAATTAAGCAACAATTAGCCTTAGGTGGACTTGGTAAGAAGGATGTTATGATGAGCAGGGTGGCTCCAAGGGTGGGCCAGGGGTGTCACCCGAACCCCATGGATGATTTTTTTTTTTATTTTTTTATTATATAAGTATTAGATTTTAGGAAAAAAAATCAGCAACTGAACCCACTAAAATACAACTTTGAACCCATAGTTGTCCCAAAACTTTGAACCCACCAATGAAAAAAGCTTACCAATTGTGACTGCAACAGTGGAAAGAGCATTTTCAGTAATGAAATTCATAAAGAATCAATTGCGTAACCGAATGGGAGATCAATGGTTGAATGATTGTTTGGTTACATATATTGAGAAAGATGTATTTGATAGTGTTGATAATGAGCTTATTATGCAACGATTTCAAAATATGAAATCTTGTTGTGGTCAATTGTAAAAACTCGTGTATTACCATGTCTTTTTGTTTAAACAATAGTATCAATATATTGAAATATTTTTGTTTATAATTTTAGAATTTAAATTAATTTATTGATTTTTTTCTCCATAGGTGATATAATGATTAATGTGAATTTTCTATAAGATATATGACATTTAAGTTTTTGATTGACACCACTAAAAAAAATTCCTGGAGTCGCCACTGATGTTGAGGCATCAAATTTGACTCAAATATAACTGTAGATTAAAAAAAACAAAAAAGGCACAAGAAATAAACGTTTAAACAATCATAGCTTCCTACTTCATCGATTAAGGAACCAAATTTACCTTTGATTGATTAGAGTCCGCAACCTCGATAACTTTAAAGTAGGAAAAGCAAGCTTTTCAAGGAAAAGGGGATTTGCCTCTATGAGCTTTTTAAGCTCTATCAACATTATGCTACGAGCTGTTTTGGTGTCACCATACTTGGATAGCTGCTCATTTTCCCTGATATTCAATGACAATAATAAACTTCCAAAATAAATTACTAATTTTCAAATTTCACTTTTTTGGCAGAATTTAGAAAAACTAAAACTACTAAATAATAATATTACCTTGAGCTAGGTGACACATGAAATCACATGAAATTCCCAATACTCCATTGGAAAATGCTATTTTACTAGAATTTATATACAAAATCTGCTTCCAAAATGACGTGGCAGTGATGCACTTATAAATTATGTTCATAATAATGGGATTTATGTTTTTAAATAAATGAACCACAATAAGTCATGCAATTTTGTACAGTAATTTTGTACAAGCTTTCTGTTTGTATAGCACTATTCTCTATTGAATTTTCCAAGTTGGCAATAAAAAATTGAGGAAAGTGTTAATTTTAGAGAATACTAAGATTAAGAAATGATTGTGATGTCATCCCCTTTTTATATTAATAAAGATTAATAATTACAAGGGAGCCCTAAGGCATAGAATAATTACAATTAAATAAAAAAATCCAACTAACAATATTCTAACACTCCCCCTCAAGCTGGTGCGAAGATATCTCTCGTGCCCAACTTATCTAGGGTGTCATGCAATGGCTTACTCCCAACTCCCTTGCTGAGGATGTCAGCGAGTTGTTCAAAAAAATGCACAAATGGAGTACATATTGTGCCACTAGTGAGTTTCTCCTTAATGAAATGGCGATCAATCTCAATATGCTTTGTCCTGTCATGTTGAACTGGATTGTGAGCGATGTTGATAGCGGCCTTATTATCGCAGTATAACCTTATGGAGTCCATCTAATCAATACCTAGATCACTCGACAATAACTTGATCCATAAAAGCTCACACCCCCCTTGTGCCATAACTCTAAACTCAATTTCTGTGTTGGACCTGGCAACCACATTCTATTTCTTACTCCTCCATGTAACTAGGTTGCCTCCAATAAATGTGCAATACCCTGAAGTCGATCTCCTATCAGTTATTGTTCCAACCCAGTCAGCATCTGTATAGGCTTCCACACGAAGATGATCGTGCTTTGAAAAATAAAGACCCTTACTAGGAGCAGACTTCAAATACCGCAAAATTCTTATGACAGCCTTGAAGTGAATCTGATGAGGAGTACGCATAAACTGGCTAACCATACTGATAGCAACAGCAATTTCAGGACGGGAGTGAGATAGGTAGATGAATTTACCGACTAAATGTTGATCGCTCCCCTTATCAACATCTGCTCCTCTTTCATCATCCCCCAGTTTCTGATTGGGTTCCAGTGGAGTATCACAGGCCTTGCAACCAAGCATCCTAGTTTCCTTCAATAGGTCAAGCACATACTTCCTCTGTGAGATAAATATCCCATCCTTAGAGCGAGCAACTTCAATTTCCAGAAAATACTCCCCGAGTCTTTGATTTCAAACTCACTTGCTAAATATTTCTTTAATAGAGGTATTTCCTCACTATCATCACCGATAAGAACTATGTCATCCACATAAACAATGAGCACGTAGTCTTAACACGTGAGGAATGTTTCACAAAGAAAGTGCGACCTGCCTAACTCTATTTGAAGCCATAATTTAGCATAGCCTAAGTGAATCTCTCAAACTAAGCCCTTGGAGACTGTTTGAGGCCATATAATGACCTCCGAAGCCGATATACTTTACCCTTTGTCTGATGATCCTCAAAACCAGGAGGAATGTCCATATATACCTCTTCTTCAAGGTCACCATGGAGAAAGACATTCTTTACATCAAACTAATGAAGTGGCCAATCTAGATTAGCTGCTAGAGAGAAGTACTCTGACAAAATTCATCTTAGCCACGGGTGCAAAGATCTCCTAATAGTCAACGCCATATGTCTGAGTGAACCCTTTTGCCACAAGTCTAGCCTTGTAACGCTCAATAGAACCATCCACTATGTGTTTCATAGTATACACCCATTTGCATCCCACAGGTTATTTGCCCTTAGGTAGCTCAGTCAATTCTCAAGTGCCATTCTTCCTAAGTGCTTTCATTTCCTCAATCATGGCAAGTTTCCACTCAGAGGTAGCAAGAGCATCCTGGAAATGGTTAGGAATGCCAACAGAGGAAATATTTAACACAAAAGCTCTATATGAGGACGACAAATGAGAGTGGGATACAAAATTTGAGATACGATGTTGAATACAAGATCTCACACCCTTTCGCTTGGCAATGGGAACATCAAAATTAGTAGGAGCATCAAGATCAATGGACTCAAGAGATTCAAAGTTACCTGGACTCTCATCAGAAGCAGGAGATGGCAGTGGATGAGCAAAAGTGGTCTCTTGTATCCAGTTAACTTTCTGTCTGTCTTTGTCTCTAACAGGCACTTGCCCTTCCCAATCCTTGGTGACATTCGGTTCTATAGTCCCAATAAGAGGTGGTGGGGCAAGAACAACTGGTTCCACCATAGGAGTCACAGGAATCACTTCACACTAAGACTCCCCCTGAAAGGAGGACTGTGACACCAAAAAGGACAAAAAATAGGACTGGGACTCAAAAAATGTGACATTCATGGACACAAACCACTTATGAAGAGGAGGGTAATAACACTTATACCCCTTTTGAATAGGAGAGTACCCAAGGAAAACACATTTGAGAGAGCGAGGATCCAACTTACCACAAGTAGGTGAGTGATTGTGGACAAAACAGACACAGCCAAATATTTTTGGAGGAATAAAAAACAAAGGCTCGGAACCTAGGAGGACTTGAAGAGGAGCTTGTCTGTACAAGACCTGGGTAGGAAAACGATTAATAAGATAGGCAGCAGTGAGGACAACGTCACCCCAGTAGGACCAAGGCACACTCATAGAAAAACACATGTACTGAGCCATGTCAAGAAGATAACGATTCTTGTGTTCCGCCACCCCATTATGTTGAGGGGTATCGGTGCAAGAGGTCTGATGGACAATGTCATGGGTAGAAAAATATTGCCCTAATTCAGAATCTATATATTCCCCCCATTATCAGAACGAAAGATTTTGATAGTGACCCCAAACTGAGTACAAATCGTCTGATGAAAATTGTAAAATATAGAAAAAAAACCTCACTTTTGTCTTTCATGAGATACACCCGAGTAGTACGAGAGAAATCATCAATAAATGTCACAAACCATCGATGACCTTTCACAGACATAACACGAGATGGACCCCAGACATCAGAATGTATTAATGAAAAAGAAACTAAACTTTTATTAAAACTGGGAACAAAAGAAGCTTTGTGTTATTTTTCAAGTTGACAAGACTCACAAAGAGACTCAAACACATTACTTTTACAAAAACAAATGGAAATAAAAATAAAAAGAAGGATGCCCAATATGCCAATGTCATAGCCATAGATCATCTTTGGTAGTAAGTGTCACGACTCAAACCCGCCTCTACAAGTTCAGCGTCGTAACCGGCCGGTAATCCTTGGATTACCGAAGGTTTCTGCCTGAATAATATATATAAGGGGCTAGCGGAATCAAATATAGAAACATACATAGTCCACTGAGCTGTGTAGATATATATGGTATAGAAATTTCAAAAACTTTATATATATATGTGACGTCATAAATCCAGCAGTCTTACGTCATATTCATTAAAGATATAGCCAAAAGGGAACTTAGCCCAAAATACGCGTAAACAGAAAACTTGTAATCCAAAAGAAAACAAAGTCTCAAACATGTGTGCTACCAAGGGAACCTCCTCGGAAAGCACAATAGCTGGTTGACACGACTGAGACTCTAGGTTATCAACTCTGAGCATGGTCACACGCCTGATCACCTATATACATATATAATACAGTGAGCTGGAGCCCAGTGAATAATAACAAAGTAAAGGTTTTAACTGAATGATGCCCATAACAGATATAGCTTTCAATTCTCTTTTCGAAACAGAAACATGAGTATAATCATATCAGAAACAGTCATAATCATATTCATATCATGCGTGGTACATCCATTAGCATTAACATATCTCTTTGGTCAAGCATATCGAGTTCCGTAATGGAACCTCCGGTACCAGGTAACATATCTTATACATGGGCCACGGTATTGTCTCCCCGGACGAGGGCCTCATGACCATAAGCCACAGTTTTATTTCCCTTAGGCGAGGGCCTCCGCTAAGGATACCACATAGATATTTCAAAGAAGTGGATCATCATTCATATAATCACAAAATAGCCTTTTTGTATCATTTGGAAACAGTTCATATCATATAATGTTCATAATGTACTTCATATTGAACATAGCTTTACTAAGTTATTACTCACAAATAATTTCACAAATAGCTTCGATAGCAAGCCAATGGATCAATAGCTCATGGCGCGTTACCTGCACAAACATAATAGATACACATATTGAAACGCATGCTTGGATAGTACTTATTCTTAGTGTGTTTCTAAGCCTTAGCCTCATTATCATGTCTTAATCATGGCCTAGGAATGCCTAAGATGCAATGAGGATGACAAAACAAGTTGTTCAACACTTAGCCAAATTTGCTGAAACCAGGGTCCTTGCTCGAGCGCAACTTCCTTTGCTCGAGCGAAGGGTCAAAAATGTGAATGGTCACTCGAGTGCAACTTTTTCCGCTTGAGCGGTCTGTAAACTCTGCAAAAGTACTGGTTGTGTGATTTTTCCGCTCGACGGTCGCTCGAGCGTGAGACTGAGGTCTTCGCTGGAGTGCAACTCTTGTCGCTCGAGCGGTCTGTAAAATGTGTAAACTTCTGAGAGCATGCATTTTACGCTCGAGCCAACTTTTGGTAGCTCAAGCGGAAGTGTAACATACTAAGTGGTCGCACGAGTGCAGGTTTCGTCGCTCAAGCGAAGAGGCAGAATTTTGAAATTTTCAAATTTGCTCCCAAGCTCAAAACTTGATTTCAAAGCTGCAAAACATGGTCTTTTGGGCCAAAAACTAAAGGAAACTAGTGTAAACTTGTAAAACATGATGAATTCAAAAATCATTTCGCAAAATCAAGGCCCAAAGCATGCCAATTCTTCCAAATTCAAACTTG